AATCAAGAAGTTGATAGTTTTGTTTCTAATCAGTTCCTTCGCCTCAACAACTTCAACAAGAACGAGCTCCCTCTCAATCACTACTAGGTGCTCTACTTGCCACTCGCCGAACATCGCCAGCAGTACCGCAGAGCAGGACCGAGCATCACAGTCGTCTCGGCAGTCCTCCTAGGGTTTGTGATTAGTTGTTTAAAGAAATTTGTTCGTAGATAGTGTATTAATGAAGAGGTGGAGGTAGTATAGTAGCAGGTGGGCCCCTTCACCACGAGCGCGGTATGGGGGGGGGTCAGATACCCAGATACCGCCTATGCCCGCCTGCTCCAACCAAGCCTTTTACCCTCCGGGTACGGTAAAATTGTTACCGGATTCATACATTAGCTGGCCCTCTCAAGCTACTGTAAAGGCAACATTGCACTCAATAAGCCACTACGATTCTGAATGGAAGTAGAATGCGTGCCGCATCCCACAAAGGGATTGATCAACGGCGGAAGACTTCATCCTCTTCGTCCGTTTATACTAGTAAGCTTTGTTTGTTTGGCTCATGGGTGCAATGTTGGGCTTTTAACCTCAGACTGAAAACTGCGAATGGGAGCTTCAACTACGGGTTCAGAAGCATGGCTCAGATGTGAGTCTCTGTGAGGCGGGAGGGGGAGGACTGGTGGGAGAGGAAGGGAGTGTCGTGGTCTAGGAACTCTCATATATTCTTGCCACACCTTCACAGGAGCTGGAGCTGCGTTCGCGTGATTCATTGCTGCGCTATCCTTATGAAGTAGTTACACTGGTTGAAGGGGAGGAAGGGGAGAGGAGGAGGTTCCGAGAAGTATAATAGTAATGCTGTGCGCAATTCCAGGACCTCTTACATGAATCCACCCTTCCTCCTCATGGCCTTGTGTTCTCGTCTTCGCGTCGCCCTAGTCCAGACACTCGTGGTATTACCATCCCTTGATTACTCCGACATGCAGGGCACGTCCGGTTCCTAGGAAACTAGCGAAATACGCACTCCCAAAAAATTTGCTACCTGGTATGACCGCCCTCATTTTCCAGAGCAGGGGGAGGGGATGTCGCTACCAAACACTCACAAAATTTAACTGGCGAAAGGAGCACTTCGTGTAGGGCTTCATCAGAAAAATTTTCTCGGGCTATGTACGACCCCCTGCCGTTTGGGATTCCTCGGCCTACGACGTACCCGGGGCAGTTGGGCAACGGGGGGCGTTTTGCACTTTTGCTACTGACGTGTCGACCCATCTAGAGAGCCTTTTCTTGAGTTGACAGGTTTTACCATGATGGCTTGACGAGCTTGCTCCAGCTTCACAAGAGTTCACAGGTTTCACCAGAGTGAGACTTGTAAACCGAACTAGTGAAGCAACGAAAGTGCAAAATGCCCCCCCCCCGTCGCCAAACTGCGCCGACGTACCATGTTAACGTGAGCCTAAACCTTTCAACCACAGCCTTGTGTCGGTCAATCAGTTAACAACCTAGTCAGATGTTGTTAACTCATGGACATCTCTTACACATCATAATTATCTGAACATCCCTGAATCGTCATCTATTGTTAAATTTTCAGCTTTCTCCGTCCAAATCTGACTGCGAGTCGATTTCGTCGTCAGCCTCTCTCTCGCCTTCTCAGTCGAGCGAGGATCATCCGGAGTCGTCAGCGATCAGACGAGCCCTTGATGGGAACAGTTCCGACGACAAAAAGGTTAACATTATCCACAAAATCGCTTTTCATTGCCCTCAGTCTGTGGCTTTACTGCTTTCCTAGGAGCAGTACATGGACCGGCGACGGCGGAATAACGAGGCTGCCAAGCGTTGTCGGGCGAATCGAAGAGCCGTTTTCGAGTACAGAAGTCGTCGTGTGCAGGTATGTGTGATTCTAACTGCTTCTGAATGCCATCCATCATCTCCTCAGACGTGCTAAGTTGCCAGTCGATCGATTTATCGATTGCCAAGTTCAATAGCTGTGCTTCACCATTGTCATTCTGATCAATATTGAGAATATTTCAGCTCCTTGAAAACGAGAATGACCACTTGAAAGAAGAGATCGCTAAGCTGAAGAGAGAAGTCGATCAATTCAAGTCCATGCTCACCGCTCAAAACATTATGGACACTCAATAGCCCTTTCCCTATAATCGATTTATCGATTGATTCGTATTTTTCCATTTGTGATGTGGTTTTTCTTATCCTATTTGATTTCGTTCCACGAAAAGTTGGTCTAGGGAGTTCGGTCGGTGGCCAAATTGTTTTTATTGAATAGGTCGCTAGTGACTTGAATAAGATTTCGTCTATCAACAGCAGCTAGCTTTCACCTAATCTCCTTGCCTCCTCGTCCTTTCACTACTCCTTATTCAGTACAGTCAACACTCACCGATGATGCAATATCAGACGGTTCTGATACCTCATACAGAGCCGTGTCGTCTAGGTTACTCACAAATTCATCCAGGTAGGACGTTGATCTAACCGATGGTCCCACCCCTCGTCGTCTCCATTGTCACTGCCACTAGTAATGTATATGTGCAATGTATGTGCTCTTCTCTATGGACAATAAGCTTTATTACGTCATTTTGTTGGTACAATGAAAGATTTCTTATCAGCATCGTGATCACCATTGCCACTCAGAAATCAATCACCGGAGGATTTCAAGGTGTTCTCTAGCGGCCGTTCGGGTGGCGAGTTTTTCCTTACTGTTTTTGTGAATAATCCACCGTAAAAGAGCGATGACCTTGCGTCATGCTGCGCACAAAGAAAACTCCACATTTACACAAAAAATCTCGAGGTCGAACGAGTGCAGACACTGCAGCCAGCAACGTCCTTCTGGCGCGGGAATATTCGTGCAGGCGATTTTCAATCATCGACGACGAATATGCCGAGGTGTGGTTATCCCTGCCCACCTGATGACGTTATTGATGCCGGTCGAGGCCCAAGCAGACCAGGACACATAGTAGTGAACAAAAAACCCCTTTGAGAAGTCAAGAAATGGAAATTTTAACCGCAACACGCCTAGCAGGGCAGAATTTGGCACCCCTGAGTAGGCGCTCCTCCAAGACAGGTACCCTTATTGAGCGCCTAATCAAGCTGCAACATACCGACCCGGACGCCCACCGCGCCCGCCCGCCCACAAATGTCCGACCGATGCTGATGCTCGTATCGCTTCATTTGCGAAGTACAATATGAAGCGGTCTGCATGGATATTTATTTATTTATTTATTTAGTATTGCACTCAAGGTGCTCCTTTACAAAAGAAAAACTAGAATACACATTAGCTACTCGCCAATACAACTTTATACCACGTGCCCACACCGTTCTGAATTCAAAAGGAACATAACTGGGGGGGGGTGTCGCCTCAATCAAGTTAATCATTAATAGATAAGAATTTTTCAGCCTGGGCAACGCAACTAACCGTGGTTATTCCGGGGCGGGCCAAAGTAGATGCCTCTTTGATCTAAATACGAACCCCAGGCGTAAGACCCAGGCCCAAGTAACCAGTTGGATGAACGAACTGGCACCTGTTGACCTTCATCAATCAGACTGAGTGCTGAGACGTGATATTAATAATGTGCTGACACACTTCCGATTCCACGTGAGTATTGCTGGTCACGGCTTGACTTGAGGCGAAGATAATTTACTGCTCTATAAAACGATTGTGGATGATATACAGGGATGACTGACTTCAGAAAGGTGGTGGCAAGGGCTTATACTGAGATAGATTACATGATAACAGTGTTTTTGAGAAAGTAGCGGAGATGCCTAGATATAGATCACTTCTGGATGGGAGACTTTTCTTCATTCTTCTTGCTTCTAGAAGTTGAGATTGATTCGTAAAAGGCAGAAGTCATGAACTAAAAATCTTCAATATTTAGTAGTGGCAGTATATTTACTTTACTCAACTTTCGACGAAAAATGTGAGAATTTGGGGAACTCATTATATCTTCTGGCAGCATTTGCAGCCATCTTGCAGTTCGACAAAAAAAGGAGTTATAAAGTTTGGACCAGTGTGGTCTTTTTATCGAACGATAATCTAAGACAAAATTATTTGATCGCCCACTACTAGGCCTG